AATTAATGTTTTCTAAAAATAAACTATTTACAAATATAAATTGTTAAAATAGTTTTAAAATTTAGAGAATATAATATACCTTTGTGGAATAGAAAAAACTAAAAAATCTTTCTTGCGAACAGAAGGAATATAATTTCATCTTCTTAATACGATGCAATACATTGGCAGTGTGCAATTAGAAGAAGGAACCGTGAAGTCTATTGGATAATGATGATGAATATTAGGAATATTAGAGATATACATGAGAAGTATGTTGATAATTATGAGATCCGATAGATAAGGATCTACGTTGTGATTCGAGTTGTATATATACTTGTATTCTACATCAATAACAAACCAGGTTGTTCAGTTATTTACATGGTATCAGAGCTTAGATCTGATTAAAAATTCAAAGTTTTTCAAGTTCTTTTCATCAACATGAGTGACGAAGACAAATTAGCGATGACCAAGACGAACGAAGCTGTCATGTTGTCGCCGTATACGCTGTTTTCTTCTGATAACCCTGGCGCGAAGATCACCTCCGTGCAACTGAAAGGAGACAATTACAACGAATGGGCGATGGAGATGATGAATGCGTTACGAGCAAAGAAGAAGACAGGCTTCATTGATGGAAGTTTGACAAGACCAGACGAGAAAGACAAGGACTTGGAGGCATGGCTGAGTGTTAATTCCATGATCGTCGGATGGATACGATCATCTATTGAACCAAGAGTGAGATCTACTGTGACTTTTATTACTGATGCGTACAAATTGTGGGAGAATCTCAAGAAGAGATTTGATGTTGGAAACAAAGTTCGGGTACATCAACTGATGGAACAACTAGCTTCTTGTCGTCAGAATGGAGAAGCCGTAATTGATTATTATGGACGTATGGCGGTTATGTGGGAGGAACTTCAAACATACAGACCACCACCTATGTGTACGTGTGCAGCTGCTGCAGCGTATGAAAAGGAGCGTGAGGACGAAAGAGTTCATCAGTTTATTATGGGATTAGATGACTCGCGTTTTGGGAATGTGGTTACAGCCATTATAGAGGCTGACGAGTTACCAGATCTTGGTAAAACATATGCAAAAGTGATCAGGGAGGAAGCAAGACTCAGTTCCTTCAAAGCAAGAGAAACAAATCAAGATGCTATAGGTTTTGTTGCCAAAAGGGAATCTCAATTGTCTGAGAATTCTGAAGCCAACAGTGGAGGTGTACGTACTGAAGGAAACAAGCCAAGAGAAAGGGTTTGCTATCATTGTGGGAAACCAGGACAGGGGGAGTGATCCCATTGATGTAGAAGCAAGTGCAGGAGTGATTAATACGGAGGACAGAGTAATTCAAAATACAGACAAAGCTGCAGAGAGTCAAGAAAATACATCTGCAGAAATTAGTAGTACAGACATTGTTGTTAGTACTGAGGCCGTTGGAACTACAAATGAGAAGCAACCAGAGATCAGTAGTGTGGACATCAGTAGTGTGGATACCCAAGAAGAAGCAAAAGAAACAGAGTTAGGACGAGGACAAAGAGAGAAGATACCGTCTGTAAAATTGCGAGACTATGTGTGTTACAATGCTATATGCGTCAACGACCCCCATCACGATCTCACCAACTCAAATTCAGAGTCCTCAATGACGGTCTCAGGTACGCATTCCACACCATATCCTTTAGTGAACTATGTATCTGATGATAATTTTTCGCCAGAACACAAAGCTTTTCTAGCTGCAGTTACGAAAGGTGATGCACCAAAGAGCTATAAACAGGCAGTTCAGCATCAAGTTTGGCGTGACTCTATGAAAGACGAGATTGATGCGTTTGAGCTAAACAAAACCTTCAGTATTGTAGATTTGCCACCTGGTAAGGAGGCTATTGGCAACATGTGGCTGTACAAGTATAAGTATGGGGCAGATGGCACGATTAAGAGACACAAGTCCAGACTTGTTGCTCTTGGGAACAAACAAGTAGAAGGAGTAGATTTCACTGAGACATTCGCACCAGTGGCTAAGATGACAACTATTCGAGGATTGTTACGTGTGATAGCAGGAAAAGGTTGGTTTGTACATCAAATGGATGTGCAAAATGCATTTTTACATGGAGAACTCAAAGAAGAGGTATACATGAAACTCCCACAAGGCTTCACTCACTCTGATCCCAAGAAGGTTTGTAGACTCCACAAAGCTGTCTACGGTTTAAAGCNTTGTACATCAAATGGATGTGCAAAATGCATTTTTACATGGAGAACTCAAAGAAGAGGTATACATGAAACTCCCACAAGGCTTCACTCACTCTGATCCCAAGAAGGTTTGTAGACTCCACAAAGCTGTCTACGGTTTAAAGCAAGCTCCGAGATGTTGGTATGAGAAGCTGGCTGAGGCACTAACGAAATATGGTTTCAAGCATTCCTATGAAGACTACTCGTTGTTTATGTACACAAAAGGGGAAGTTGAGATACGAGTTCTAATATATGTGGATGATCTGCTAGTGTGTGGAAACAACATGGAAATCTTGGTGAAGTTCAAGGAGTATCTTGGAAGATGTTTCCATATGAAGGATTTAGGCAAACTCAAATATTTTTTGGGCATTGAAGTTGGAAGAGGAGCTGAAGGATTTATGATCACACAGAGAAAGTATACTCTGGACCTAATTGCAGAGACTGGTATGCTTGGTGCGAAGCCATGTGGGACACCGATGGAACAACAACATAAGCTTGGGCGGGACATGAGTCCATTCATTCAACAAGCCAGTCAATATCGAAGGTTAGTAGGGAAGCTGATATACTTGTCAATCACGCGTCCAGACTTGTCGTATCCAGTCCACATTTTGGCGCAATTTATGCAGACGCCTAGAGAGGCTCATTGGGAAGCAGCTCTCAGGGTAGTAAGATACTTGAAAGGAACCGTGGGTCAGGGCATTCTTCTGAGCTCTAATCCAGACCTCAGTTTATCCGTGTTTTGTGATGCAGACTGGTCTTCTTGCCCCACATCCAGACGTTCGTTGAGTGCGTATGTAGCAATGGTAGGAGATTCAGCTATTTCATGGAGGACGCAAAAGCAGGACGTTGTTTCACACTCCTCAGCAGAAGCAGAATATAGGTCAATGGCAGAGGCGTCACGAGAGATCAAATGGCTAAGGCGACTGTTGCATGATCTAGGAGCACCCCTCAAGGATCCAGTTCGGTTATACTGTGATAGTAAATCGGCCATATACATTGCCACAAACCCAGTCTTTCATGAGAAAACGAAGCACGTGGAATCTGATTGTCATCAAGTTCGAGATTCAATAAAAGCCGGGTTGATTTCAACAGTACATGTCAAGACTAATGAGCAATTAGCAGATGTTCTAACAAAGGCACTTGGTAGAGTCCAATTTGAGAAGCTGTTACATTGCATGGGAGTTCGAAATTTCCATCTTCCCAAATTGAGGGGGAGTATTGGATAATGATGATGAATATTAGGAATATTAGAGATATACATGAGAAGTATGTTGATAATTATGAGATCCGATAGATAAGGATCTACGTTGTGATTCGAGTTGTATATATACTTGTATTCTACATCAATAACAAACCAGGTTGTTCAGTTATTTACAAAGTCTTTGATAAAAGTTAAAGGTGTGGTTAAAGGAGTGACATACAAGAACAGCGCAGGGGAAGAAATAAATGCATTTGCACCTCTCACTGTGGTATGCGACGGTTGCTATTCAAATCTTCGTCGGTCAGCCATCGATAACAAAGTAAGTGAACACTTATTATCAAGGGCGGAGGAGGGGATTCAGCTGACCCATTTAATTTTAATATTTAAAATGTTTCGCCTAAATTACCAACAACACAAATTTTCAACGGACCCATATTGTGAAGTTCCACACGTTTCTCCAACTCGAAAAAACTATTTTATATCTTAATGTTAAGTATATTCATATCTTTACTATTATTTGCGAAGTAATTCTCCGAATAAGAACTCTCACGTTAGAAATTAAAACGTTTGAAATCGTTGTTATCCTTAATAAATTTTTATATATAATTTGTTATATAATTAAAAACTGATTTTAATTTAATAATATTAGATTTCTATGATTATAAATTAATATTGTCAAAAAGAAGAAAATAATTCTTATATATATATATTATGTTGTCATCTGAAAAAATAGTTTTCTATTATTAAAGTTAAAAATTAAGATTAAAAATTATAATGAAATATTAATCAATCAAAAACATTTATATAAAAATATTTCTAATATATGTGAGTGTTTCTAAAATTTCAAAACAAACAAGCATATACATTTTAATGATAAAATTATCATATATAAATAACTGTATATTTAAGTTAAATATTTTAATAATTTTGTAAATTATTTTACATTATTAAAACATAAATTAATAAATATTTATAAAAAATTATGTACCTAATATATAATAATTTTAATTATACAAAAATATTTATAAATAAAGTAAATATCACATATTTATATTCATTTCCCTTGATTGAATTGCAGAACATAAAAAATTAAAGAAATTGTTAACGGCATAAAATTAAAATTAATTGTGTGTATTTATCTTTTTAGATAAATTATGATAGCTTTGATGTTTATATTTAAACAACTATCCTTTGATTCAGGTTTTAATATTAGTAAAAATTGGATATAATAATAAATTATATAAATATCAATAGATGATATCTTAATATCAATTAATTTAAACTAAATTATTAATTCTAATTATAATACTAAACTCCAAATCGGTTTTATTCTTCAGTAATAGTAAATAATTTTGAATTTTAAAAAGTTATATGTAATAATAATCCACAATTTAATCAGTTTAATTTTCAGTAATAGTACATAATTTTAAATTTAAAAAAAAATATATGTAATAATTATCCACAATAATATTTCCTATATTATTATTTTAGTATTAATTTTTGTATATAAGATTCCGGTTGAAAAAATTTCTGCCTCGCCACTGCTTATTTTAAAGCACTGTAGACCTTTTTATATCCTCACTGATGGTCTTGTCACGTCTATATGTATACAGGAGGAAGTGCTCTCGAATTTTGTGGGATTCGTCGTAAAGAATAGCCGACTTGAAGATCCTCATAGTATGCATCTGACATTTGCTAAACCTTTACCCTGTGTGTTATATCAAATAACCAGCGATGAGGTTCGCGTTGCTGCCGAGCTTCCTGCCGACAATATTCCTTCTATAGCGAATGGCGAAATGGTTAACTTTCTCAAGAAAACTCTAGCTCCTCAGGTACACGTATTCAAGGAATCATAAGGAGTTTCTTTGATTTCGAATGGTGTAATTTTTTTTTATATAATTTAGTTTGTATCATTAATCCCTTTCGTGTTTGTAGATACCTGAAACTGGAAGGCTCCGGGAGATATTTTTGAAAGGGGTTGAGGAGGGACTACAAGAGGTAAAAGTTCATGCGACTATGAGTATGTCAGCGAAGCCGTGTGATAAGAAAGGAGTGATTGTATTGGGAGATGCATTCAATATGCGTCATCCTATAGTCGCTTCAGGGATGATGGTTGCACTCTCGGACGTTCTCATTATACGTAATCTTCTCAGGTCATTGCCTAACATTGGCAATACCAAGAAGGTCTCGGAGCTTATCAAGTCATTTTACATCATCCGCAAGGTTGGTTGTTTGCATTAATTTGCAAAATTTCATGGATTTTATATTTAGGAAAAGGAAAAAAATATTGGCAATAATAAATGAAGAGAAAATGACTAAAATAGACCTAAAATTTTTTTTATCACAAGTATAAACCTTAACAATTAAAATGACCAAAATATCAATTAAATGTTTTATTAAATATACATTTATACTATTGGGTTAACTAATCATAGATTTTATTTTTTAGAGTTAAGGAGTAGGGTTTCGGGGATAGGGTTTCGAATTTAAAAAAAAAACTTAAAATTTTCAAAATAAAAAATGCTATTTTGGTGATTTTAATTTTTGACGTCTATTTTGTGATAAAAACTTTAAAAAATGCTAGTTGAGAGAATTTCCCATAAATGAATCGACCCATAGTATCAATTTATACGGTAAATTAGGTCATGTTTTTGTTAGCAAGTTCTCTTTGACTAGCTAGACGTGTGTATGACTCTTTTAGTTAACGATCACTTAGGGAACATTATACTACTAGCCATTGTATAAGATTTAGTGTATATGATATTCGTTTTCTATTTGTGTTGATTTTGGACGGCAAAAGCCAATGGCGGCTACGGTGAACACACTGGCGGATGTTTTTTCAAACGTGCTTGTCGCTACAACGGACGAAGCAAAAGAGGGAATGAGACAAGGCTGCTTTAATTACATGTGTAGTGGTGGTTATAGAACAAACGGAATGATGGCTATTCTTGGAGGCATGAACCCTCGTCCCCTTACTCTAGCCCTTCATCTTGTAGACATCACTCTCTTCTCCATGAGCCAATTGCTCTCTCCCTTTCCTTCGCCCCGTCGCTTTTGGCATAGCCTCAGAATTTTTGGGGTAAAGATAATCTATACTTTCTGACTATTTTTACACATGTATTACATGCTTTTATACTAAGAACACATGTATTACATGTTCAACAACGGTTACGTATTTGTTGTTTTGATAACTTCCTATGTGTATCACCAGTTGGCTTTGCAAATGTTGGGTGCACATTTGGTGGATGAAGGATTCAAAGAGATGTTGATTCCTACAAACGCAGCTGCGTATCGCAGAAACTATATGGCCGTGGCCAGCGACTGACTGTTGATTGATCTTCAAAACCAAGACTATTTAGAACTCATACAGCTCTATTTAAAAAAAAATTGAATAAAGAATTGGGTCCTGTTGAGCCTTTGATTATGCCTTGTTGTTTTGTTTTGTAACCAAACTTGGATATGTTAATTTGTTGCATGCTGATCTCTTTATTATATTCTATCTGTTGATTCTTGATTTTTTGCTTATGTCTATTTCAATATCTTTGCTGATTCCACTAGGTCCCCCACAAACTCAACCTTCTTTCTAGTCTCTTGTGCACATAACCTTTGTCTTCAACTTTACTTTCAGTCCAAGTTAACCCTGGGCCAAAATTTGAAACCAATTGAAGAAGGAAAGAGCTGAGAAGAATGGTACAGGTATATGACAAACAAACCCTCAAGCCCATCACAAATTTAACGGTTACTCTTCTGTAAAAACGGAGCAGCTTTGTATGAATAGAACAAAAACGACTATGGGGAAGGAAAATAAAATACGTTTTTGGAGTTTGTCACAAAATTTAGTATATTATTGAACTGAATTAACTTTTAATTTAAAAGAAAATTTAGTGACTTTATAATAAGGCTATGTTGATGCTTGTTAATAAAGCCACCAATTTATTTTGGGTCCCACTATTGATCAGAAGACCATCCACGTTATGGACCACGTAACCCTTCTCGTCATCTCCGCTTGTGCATGCTCGCAAGTCGCAGCCGTTTGCAATTTTTTTTCTTTTTTTTCTTACGTTTGCAGATTGTGTTTTCTTTTAGCCAGATATAGTATTTACCGGGTCAATGTCAGAGATTGATTTTTACAAAGAATTTCATTATCAGTCATTACGAATCTTGAAAGTGGCAACGCTAATTGTATATGGTTTTGATTCTTATAGGTTTGAATCATAATTAAATATATATTTGAAAGATTCTCAATATGGGAATGAATAAAGCTGTAAATCGATGAAATATATTTCCAACAGTTGAACGCACATCGACTATATACAAATGAACATCAAAACTGTATATTCCAGGAATTAGAAAACCTCTTAATATTTTTTACTAAAACAAAAAAAAGAATAATAGGTTTTCTAATTTATGGAAAAAACCTCTTAATTTCTCTACCACATATATAATTTTTCTGGTCTCTATTTAATAGTAATCATAATGAAAATATAATTAAAGTAAATAGAGACCAAATTGAAAATGAAAAAAAAAGGATCAGTGGATGAGATAAGTGAGGACCAAAGCCACCAAAATAAGAACATACTAGATTCAGATCCGCCTGCGGATATATTTTTTTAATATTCTTTTAGAAATTTAATTTTTATATTTTTAATTTTTTGTAATCAGATTTTTGAATTTCATTATTATCATATTTGTGCAAATTTTTTTTAAATGATTAGTAAGTGGTTTTGAAAATTGTATTAAATTTATAATGTTGCACAATTATACGCTTTTGCCATATTCATTTCACACAATAATTTTGTATTTTATTTCTAAAAAAAAAATATTTATAAAATAACAAAGTATAGCTTCAATTTTGTTTAATAATCAAACATTTATTAAATAGATAAAATTATGGGACATTGCCTAAATTAACACTTTCTTAGTATCCTATTTCATCTTTACCTTAACCATATGATTAATTATTTCTATATCTTTTTTTTTTAGATTTGAAGAGGTTTTAGAGTACAATGTTTAAAATTTTAATAAAAATATAAATCAATATTTAAAATAAAAATAAAAAAATTAAAACAGTTTCAAAAGTGTTTTCGAATTTGAAAAAGAATATCTGGAAAAATTATAAAAATTCAAAAATATAAAAATTTCGAATTTGAAAAGTTAGAATTCGAAATTAAATATATATCTTTTTATTTATTTTTATTTATTTTTTTAAACAATAATTATTTATATTTATAAATCAAAGGTATAAATGTCTTTTATTCCTTTAATGAATTTTAGAAGGTAAACATGAGTAATGGTACTAAATGAAAGGTAAAAGTGAAATTTTCCCTAAAATTTTATGCTTTTCATAAAAATTTATTATTTGATTTCATATATTATGATAATAACGTTTACACATAATATATTTCATGCAATTAAAAATGAGTTGTATCCTTTTTAGAATAGCTTTTGATTTACGCTTTCAAATCGTAAGATAATATTTGGTTGAAATATATTTATTTAATAGAAAACTATATTTTATATATCTAATAGATATATTAATAAATATAGACTATGTTTAAATTTGTGTGTATAGTTTATTTTACTTTTTTACCTTAGAAATTTTTTTTTTTTTTGGAAATTTTGATTATTCTAACACATGTTATGAATAATCTGTTTAATTAGCTCTCTTATTTAATGCTATGATTTTATGTTTAATATTTAACATAAATAACATAATTCATTTTTATTGTCATACATTGATCAGTTTTATTTTTTTTTATGATAAATCGATTGTAATTTGTTTTAATAGTATATGTGTGTTTTCTGACCAGTGTAATATAGCAAAGAAAATCTTAATAAAATTATATGAATGTTTTTTATCAATTTTTTATTTTCATATTGATAGCTTTACTGAGAGTTTATAAGTTGTTAGTAATTGTTACGTTTTATAGTACTGCAAAAAGAAATCCCTTATATACTAAAACACAAGTCACTCAACCAATAATATACTGCCACATAGATTAAACATAAAAAATAATTTAAATTACAAAAACAAAAATGAAGAAAAAATGCAGAGGTTAGCATTCCTAATTACGCGTCCATTTATTTATTTAGACAAAATCAGAAATATTTTATTAGTCCACTTAAGGGACAGTTCGTCCTTCCAATCCCACGATCACCATTCACCAGCAATCTCCTGAAAACTACCTATATTTTTAACTACTTATTAATTTATTATCGTGTGACCGTTTGTTAACTAACACATCTCCTGAAAATACATTTTCTCCTTTTCTCTGATTTACAAACCCGATGTGAGCATGTTTGCTTCTTCTCCAAGGTATTTGTTAATTCATGTCATGTTTTTGTTCGTTCATCATCTCTTATTTATTTATTTTTTAAGTTCTTGCTTCATCTCTTTGGATCTCACTATTTTCTTTATTTCTACTGTAGCGTTTATTAATCAAGATTCACTCCTCCATGCAAAGTTTTTTCAACAGACTCAAGCTTTGTTTTTTCAAAAATCCAGAAGTATGAGATAGAGGTGAAAAATGAATATATTAAAGTTTTTTACTTTCTATTTTGTTCCTCTTCAAAACTCTATATTTGTTTTGTAGCTTTTGCATGCTTGAAAAAAATACATCCCACTGGTCACTGCTAGATTACAGGTAAATATGTTCTGCCTGTTTCATAATAGTAGTCTTAGCTAAAATCATACAGATTAAAAAATATATTTTTTGTGTAACATACAGATTAAAAAGTTATTAATTTTTAAAGTATTATTTAATATATAGATTAGATAAAATTGAATCATTCATAAATAAGTCTACATAATTTGATTGGTCACACTATATTTAATAAATGTAAAAGTTACCTAGAAATGTGAAAACTATTTACAGTTTCAAACAAAAAAATTCTCTAAAATTACTTACAATATAATATGAAACATAGGGGTTATTTAGAAATGTGAAAACTATTTTAAATTTGAAAAACAATTCTCTAAAATTACTTACAATGTGAAATATGAAACAGAGGGGTTAGTATTTTACTGACCTTTTTATCATAATAAATCTCCATATTTTTTTCTGGTTTCGATGAGATTGGTATTTTTTTTTGTTCTGGAAAACAATAAAATCATGAATAACACATGTGATGTCATTCTTTTTGTGATTTTAGTTAACGGAAAATTTTGCGTTTTGTTGATAGTTTACTTGAATAGGAAGTATATATTTTTTGGTTTATTTACCATGTATGTTGAGAAAAAAATGTGAGAGAGCAGATTTTTATTAATATAATTTTTTTTTTTTTTTGAACACATTATTAATATAATTTAAAAAGCTTTTTATGTTAGTATTGACTATCAAACTATCAAAATGAGATTTAATATTCTTGGTTTATTTATCTATGGTGTCACGAGTTAATAAAATATATAAATAAAATAATAATTTGTTTTGATATTTTGAGAGTCATTACAATTTGTGATTAGATAATTTAGTAAACAATAAAATTGACCCGTGCATAGCACGGGAGATAATACTAGTATTATCTATATTTTGCTAGATTTTTGATAACCATATTATTGTTAATTATTGGTATAGTATATTAATACTTTCAATTAACTATTGTAGAAAACAATAAATATGGTTCAGTTATAAATGAGGTCATAGTTATTACTGTCAAGAAATAATTATTACTCCTAATAAATATAAACGTGATTATATATTGGAGAGAAGTGGATCCCGGCAGTTTTGGAGATTAAAGTGGAAGTTATAAAAATATATACTATTATTATTTATAAAAATTAACAGTTGGACTCAATCTTCGTCAATAGGGCATGATCCAAAATTAATAGTATTGATGCTATGCCTTGGTCTATTGTTGTTCCTGTAATATTATTGTGTTCCAAAATTAACCATCCGAAAGAAACTTAACATTTGCAATATTCAGGCGAAAAACTGAAAAACAAAGAGTTGTATAACAGTAAATCTATTGGTTACGAGATAGTTCCAACACAATTCCTACAAATAAATTCATTGGTTCATTAGATCATTTCGCGAGCAAACATGTTTTGATACACCTTAAACTTCACAAAACGTGTATGCTCACAAAATGCTCCATTGCCTAATTTGAATCTCTAAATCAGATTCTTACGGTCATTTTGATCTTTTCTTGGTTTAACTACACGATTGAATGTTAAAGACTGATATCAATAACCAAGCTTGCTTTTCGTATTGTCAATGATTATCTTTGATTAAATATGTGTACATGTGAAACAATACACAAGTTAATGGTGTACATATGAATTATTGTACATATGAAAAATATTTAGTTTTGTGTATATCAAATCACGTACATATGACTACATACAATTACCATTAAAACTACGTACACAAGAGATAATCTATACATCACAGGAAGACAAAGACTTCCTATAAATCTGAATTTATTTTACTCATTAT